TCGAAGACGGTCGGAGAATGAGTTCAGGCAAACGTGAGAATAATAAAAGAGTTCAATAGAAACAAACTGATGCCCAAAATGAACAAGAAACATAAGATGAGAAAGAAAGATATTGATTAAATTCTAAAGAAATATGAAAATGTATCCCTTGGGTAATGCATTAACTTTTGATTGACAGTTACTGGAGAAGGTTGGCTGAAATTAGATGCGAACAGATTAGAATAAGAGACAATACTTACGATTTATTTACTTCTCTGATTTTAATGACGTTTTCGGACAGAATTTCTGAAATTCAAAGAAAAAAAAACAAAATAAAGTATAAATAAACAGTTGCAAAATAGCACTAAATTATATGCTTATAAATTGAAAGTTTTATATGTAAAAATATGTATATGAATGTATACATGTGTATGCGAGGATATTCAAATGCCTGTTAGCACAAAAATACATCTGCTAATACACACACACACACACACACACACACACACACACATATATATATATATATATATATATAGCAGTATTTATTACTCGTGTGCAAAATTTTTAGATTTGCTACTTTTGTACGGTTTTGTACAATATATATATATATATATATATATATATATATATATATATATATATATATCCTAGCTTATAAAATTGAGTGGTTAAGGAATTTTTGAATACTTCTTATATATACTTGTATATGGTATGTCATGACAAAGTGAGAAAACAAATTGTGTTAACGGGTTTCGACCTTCGGAAGTACATCTTCAAGCAAAAGAATGTCTTTACTGTTAGAATCATTTATATTCATTGCTTGGCTTTGTTTCGTCCTTAAACTCGGAAGAAGTCCTGAACTCTCCACCATCTCTATGGTAACCCGGGCTGCGACTGACTTTAGTTGTTTGTTGTGTGCTCATCCTGTGGGGGGGGACGTTTTAACCTGGCGGTTATTTCTATCTATATTAGGAGACAAAAACACAAATGTCGCCGGTTATAATTAAGAATCGAGAAAAACGCCGAAGTTGCAATGGTTCTTAACTTTAAATTTTTAATTTCTGGTGCCCAGTGTGTCTACACGCACTGTCGAATCAGGCCATCGTAAATGTACGTCCAGCACTATATAGCATATAACTTTTTTTTGAAAAAAAAAACAACTGCTACTAAAATGTTTAAAAACAACAGTGATAAAAAGTGTCGAAAGCTAAATTAGGTCAGTTAGGTTGTGAATCGAAAGACATTGGACGACCGAAATGAAAAAAAAAAAAAAATCTGCATCTGCTAGCGTTCCTTTCTTTAGCGATTTTCCAAGCGTAGCTTATATGTGGCACAAGGCCGAAAGTAAGGGGACACCCAGTGAGGATCGAACTCACTACTCAGTCGTGATTGTTCTAGCGAGACAAGCTTGCTAAACATTACACGACCTCGAGGTACTCAACTCCCTCTCCCCACGTATATATTGTTCCACCAGTAAAAAATATTATTTAGTCTGAAGAGGTCCTTTCGAAGGACGTAGCACTTCACGTAAGATCTGAACACTTTGTCAAGGAAGTATGCCAAAAAGGCACTCCAGAAAAAATTCTCAATGCCAGAGCTTTAAATTATTTTAAAATCATTTTTCGAGCATAAACACTTGACCAGAAAATTAGGAAAAATAGAAAATTAGGAGATCAGTCGATTCTGCTACCTTTTGATAGCTTCAGGCGATTTGGATCAATTGATTTCATTTTAAACCAGAAATCGGAAATTATGTCCCGTTATATTCATACAAAAAATCCTTTTGGTTTCATTTGAAGTGGGATAAAAAGAAGGTATGCTTGTTTCATTTAATCCCCCCACCCCACCCAACGACATACTTACAATATACTTGATTTTCATTTGAGTACATATATATATATATATATATATATATATATATATATATGATGAAATGTACTTTTGGCTTTTATCTGTTCGTGTGTTTATTCGATATGAAAAAAATATACATTTTTTTTTCTGAATCATTGTCAAAAATATGTCCTTATCAAACATAAAGTAATAAAATCAGTGCTATTTTTTTTGCATTACGGTTTTCAAGAATATATGAGATGGATATAAAAAAATTTCTTAATTAAATAAATCCATGTCAAATATTTTTCTCAAAAAATATCGGATACTGGAAATTAGAATAAACTTGTATTTTTATCGCCTGTGTATACTACTACTACTACTACTATTACTACTACCACAAGCACCATTACTACTACTACTACTACTACTACTACTAGCATCAGCACCATTACTACTACTATTACTACTACTACTACCACCACCACCACGAGCACCATTACTACTATTATTATTACTACTATCACCAGCACCATTATTACTACTACTACTATTACTACTACCACCACCACCAGCACCATTATTACTACTACTACTACTACCACCACCACCACTACCACCACCACCACCACCACCATTACTACTACTACTATCACTACTACCACCAGCACCATTATTACTACTACTACTACTACTATTACTACTACCACCAGCACCATTACTATTACAACTATTACTATTACTACTACCACCACCACCACCAGCACCATTACTACTACTACTACTACTACTACTAATAATAATAATAATAAAAAGCTGCCACGAAATAAGCGACGAGCAAGGATGTGGGTTATATTTTGGAGTAACCTTCTCCTAGATAGGTTGCTTTGTAAGGCTTCAGAGCCCCTATCTGCCCATGAAGTTTTGCCTCCAGTCCGGTTTTGAATCAGTGTTTTCCTTCTCCTAGAGCAGTTACCACCCAAGGCTATAGAAGCCAGTGTGTCCATCTATTTACTCATAGCGTAACCTATCTAGAATAGACAGTTCTCACTATCCATTCCCCCCAGAAATATAAAGCAGAAAATCGAATACACACGCAAAAATCACAGTCTTGTATAATATTTCTCTATATATTATATATGCGTGGTGATTATTGGAAAGTGCTCAGTATCAGTGATAGGGCTAAACATATTTAGTTGTATGGATATGAGTTTGTAACCCTAGGTTTCACGCTTTAAAAAGTGTAGTTATTTATGGCAGTTTTTGTTTGATTATGTTTGGTCGTACTGCTGGGGAGGGGGGAATTCTCCTCTGTGTCCATTTTGGGATGACACTCAGACGTTCGTAGACATACATACATACAAGTGTACATTATAAGGTGTACGTATTATTACCATTATTATCACTTCATATCCTCCCCCAACAACTTTTAACCATTGTATTTGTTTTTATTATTGTCATTATTTATTTATTTTTTACTACTATTATTACCATTAACTGCATTATTTAGTTATTACCACTTCAATTATGTTTTTATTTATTATCTCTTCCATTATTATCGTCACTTTTATTATTTATTACCACTTCCATCATTATGATTATTTATTATTATTAACTACTGCTGTTATTTTATTTTATTATTATTTAATATTAGCTATTATTATCATTATTTATTATTATTGTTACTACTACTACTATTATTATTTTTATTTTACTACCATTGTTATCATTATTGTTAATTACTACTCCTTTTATTACAGTGTAACCCGGATATAAGAAACCCAGATATAAGAGAAACCCGGATATAAGAGAGATTTTCTCTGGTCCCAAATTAGAGCCTGTGTTAATGTATATAAAATAGACCAAACTCGGATATAAGAGAAACCCGGATATAAGAGACTTCTTCTCCGGTCCCGACAACTTTCTTTTATCCGGGTTACACTTTACCATTATTATTATTATTATTATTATTATTATTCATTACTACTTCATATTCTCCCCAACAATATTAGGAGTGCGTTTTACCATTGTCATTGTTCTCAATATTGCAATTATTATTTTATTCTTAATATTTTTCACCATCATCTTATATATATATATATATATATATATATATATATATATATATATGTGTGTGTGTGTGTATCGGTGTGTGGAAACAATGTATTTATAGGTTTGATTACTATCTGTATTTTCGTTCATCTGTTGAGAATCTGGGAATATCCACCTTGAACAAGTGGCTACAACTCTTACTATAAATAAATAACTTTTGACATATTTTTATATTTCTTTGAGTTCCTGTCAAGGTCAGTTATAGGAAATCTTTTGTATTACTATACTTTCACAGTTAATATAGTTATGGGAGAGTGGTATGCACATTCAGCCACTAACAGCCCACTTAGCATGCTACCAGCTAAGTGAAGATGAGGTCATGACATTCCTAAAGGCATCATTTCCAAGTGAACGTAAACAACATCAGTTTGAATTTGAACTCGGTGTATCGTGCTGATCATAGTTACGCCACTCAGTACCGTATTCACATTTAATATACATCTCTAAATATGTATCTAATTCTCTATAGGCCGCAGGAAAAAAACAAATATATTCTTTATCCGTCTGTTCAATGAGATCAAATTTCCCAGGGAGTTCTTTTCGCTGTTGCGTCTTGTTACTTCATAAGATAAACATTAAAGCGTTATCTAAATTTACATTTCCGTTATTTTCATATCAGTATTGATCCTTCAGGAATAACGATTTTATCAGACACTTAGCTGTCTATGTCTATCTTTATGTGTGTGGGTGTGTTTGTGTCTGTGTGTGTGTGTGCGTGTGTGTGCGAGATTGTGTCCGCATGTGTGTAAGGCTTGCTCCAAAAGTAATACCTGCCGTTTTATCATGTTGGTCCACGATCGGTATGAGAAGCAAGCCAGTAGAGATTAAACGTTTTCATAATACTTTTTGTCGTAGCAGCTGAACGACAGTCTGGCAAAATGCGTGTTATGAAAGTGTTTCTGGATTAGAATTATATCATTCATTTCCCCCGGGGGGGGGGAAAAGACAAGAAACGAAATCATCCGACTTTTATCGATGCTTGCTGAAAGTACATAGAGATCATAAAGTCGATCTGAATACCGTTAGGTGATGGCCAATGAATTTCGACAGACGCAACGGGATGTGTGTAATCACGAATGCTATCTATCTATCTATCTATCTATCTATCTATCTATCTATCTATCTATCTATCTATCTATCTATTCGTGTGTGAGTTTGTGTATATTGGTTGTGAGTTATTCCGTTATTGACAATTTTCCCTACGTTTTTTGTTCTTTATCTCATTTTTTCCTTCCTTTCTCCTTTATATCTTTTAGTTATTTTTCGCTTTTGCTTATTTCCTTCCTTCCTTCCTTCCTTCCTTCCTTCCTTCCTTCCTTCCTTAAATCACAGTTCTTCTATGTGTCGTGACTATTAAGGACGTTGGCGATTATGGCTCTCCTCATTTTCGTATCACTTGTAATACTCAGAAATTTTTATCTTTTTGTCTTCTCTCCTAAACCCTAATCTCTCAGTCATTTACATTTAATTTCGTTAGATAAGTTATGCATTATTTTCCTTGGTCCCTCTGAGTGTCAAATTCTCCAAGTCATCTTTCCTCATTATGTGTCCTAGAAATTTCAACTATTTCTTTCTGATGGTAAATATAGGTGTCCTTATTGTTTCGAATTTCTCTAAAACTTCAACTTTACAATTAGAGATTGTAAATGCTTTTATCTAGGTTTTTATCTACAAATTCGCGATACCTAAGGTTTAAAAGGAATTTTTAAAAGTAAAACATCTTTCTTGAATCTTTTTAGTTTTAATTTCAAATTAATAGATTAAATTTATTATTTCCGAATAAGGAAATACTTTGCTGTATTTCAAAATTAATTTAAATTGATTGTAAGGAGTTTTCGTTTTGAAATTTCTGAAATTTTTGAATTTAGCGCCATTTTTAGCATTCCATCATTTCAATATAATTCTCCTTATTAAAAAAAAATCATTCAAAAATAAAATATACTTTCTTGAAAATTTATTTGCTGAGTATTAGGTGATTTAAAGTATAGGGATTTTAAACAAATATTTACTTTAAGTTTAAAATGTAGAAATGCATTTTTTTAATACAGCGGCAGCTATTTATTCAACTGTTGACGTGTTTGACAGCCTGATGGCAGATTAATGGTTATCTAACGTTGGTCTATGGAGGATTTAGCAGTAAAAAATAATTGAATATAACGTGAGCGTCTTTTATGTATTATTTTTTAAGTATTCTGTAATCTTAAAAAATTAAGAAAATATTCTCCGTAATCTAATGTTTTATTGAATTTTAGATACTTTTGGCTTTAAATTTACGATAGTTATGGCTTTTATTTTCTGATAATGGCGTCTATGACCGTTTGTATGTCCAAAAATCGGCACACTACAAAATTCTTTTAAAAATATACGAGTTTCGTAAATCGTAATAAATTTTTCGATTTATAATTAGTAATAATAATAATTTTTCAATCAGTTTCCTTTAAGGATAATTTTTTTTTTATGAGTAATTTATTTTAACTAAATTTACACGCTATTTTTTCTTTTGACTATTATTCAATATGTAAAGAAATATCTTGATTAATTTATTTTAAGCAATTTTAGTTATATGTTATTTTCTCTTAGTTATAAACAATTTTCTTTCATTAAGGATTATTTTTTGGGAGTAACCTATTTTATCTAAAATTTACACGTTATTATATTTTCTTTCTTTTTTTTTTAACTAGTATTTAACATGTAAATAGCTTAATTTATTTTTAAGCAATTTTAGTTAAATGTTATTTCTCTTAGTTTTTAAACGGAATTTAAATGTATCAATCAATATCCCAAATTATTCATACCGCATTTTAGGAGTCTTCTTTTTGTAAATAGTCTAAGTCATTTTAATCACTCTATTGTAAATATTTTGTTAAGTGTAGTTAAGAAAAAATAAGAATAAAAAGGAAAGTTGTAAAAAGAGAAAGACCCAACAAATAAGATATAATAAAGAAGTTAAAAGGGGAGGAAGAGAAAGAAAAATAAGTCACATGACGATAAATCGTTTTTATTTTATTAGTATATATATATATATATATATATATATACCACGAATTTGTGGAGGTACCTATTTTTAACCCTTTTAATTACGTTAAAGACGCAGTTTTTGACGAATAATTGTGAAAGAATTACTTTTGGTGAAATTGTTGGCAGATAATGCAGTCCTGAGATTTCAGTGTTTGTAAAATCTAATAGTTTGAACCATACGCTTCATATGCCCTCTCCGTGGAGCTAACCAGAAGACAAATTTCAGGTTTGAATTTAATACTAAAAATCTAATTCATCTACTCGAGAATTTTAGAGAAAATATATCACTATTAACCTGACCCTTATTTTTGCAATTTCCGAAATGTGAAACACCACCCCACCACAAACAAAACGTTCAATATTAGTTTAAATGAATCGCAGATTTTAGGTTTTTTTGTTGTTTGTTTTTTTTTGCAAGCACTGCGTATTTAGAAGCCACTCAGGAACACCAACGTTTCTGAACGTATAAAGGTAAATATTTCTTATTATATGCTTCCATATATTAGTTTATATTTGTGAAACCCCAAAAGTTGTAGGCAAAGTGCTTGTTTCCAAGGATACTGCTGAGAGAGAAGTGGTTCTCATACACGATTCTACGGGCTAAGCAGCCAATCAGAAAAGCAATCTTTGTTCATCCAGCGAGGAGCGTAAACTATTTCAATCTATCACCAAGGCATCTCGCTACAAATTTCTCTTCTATAAATGCATATTGAATCAGCTGTTGACCTTTTAACTTTTCATTTTAAATCAAAAGTAAAATATGAATTAGTTTATTCGAAATACAATTGTTTCAATTGTTCTTTACATTATGCATCGCATATACGTAGATATTGTTTAAGCTTAAGTTGAGTAAGCCGAAAATGAAGAAATAAAATATTCTAATGGGCATAAAAGAAGATAATATGATAACCGAAGATCTATTTATTCTCAAGTTTTACTTAGATTAACTGTGGATTAGTGGGGAGAGAATTCAAATTCACTGAACATTTCCTAAATCATAGACTGGACAAAACAGAGTATTTATTTTAAATAATATGAAAAGCTTCAACAAAAGTCTGAAATAAGGGCCACATTAATTCATAATGCTAATTGTTATTTAATAAGTATCCAGTGACGAAATGGATACAAGAGGTACACGAACTAGTTTGTAAGATTAGTTTACTACCAATTGCCAACTAGTAACACTAATGAGAATGAGAAATTAAGTCATCCTCTTTTGGAAAGTCGAATTTTCTAGTCGTTTTTGTGATGAAGCTAAAAAGGAATTTTGATTTGAATTGTTTTCTTTACTTTTATTTTATCTGATTGTTTGCTTCATTCTTTATATTTGTATTTTTTCTTCTAGGTATTTTTTACTTTAATTTTCTTTCTTTCTTTCTCTCTTTTCTTAACGACTTTCGAGAATTTATTGATTTTTTTTTTTCTGTGTTTTTTTTTTCTGTTGCTAATATATATGCATTAATAATAATAAAAAAAATGAAAATTCAATAATTTCATATTTCAACCTGTAGTGAGATTCGGGTTCTTTTACTTAATGTACTTTAAAAAAGAAAACATTATATATATATATATATATATATATATATATATATATATATATATATATTATACATATATTACATATGTGTGTGTGTCTCTGTCTGTACACGTAACTACGCAAATCTATATTTTTCTCATTTAGATCTCTTTAGTAGGATCGACGCTGCTAGACACATTTCGACGGTGTCCCGAGATCATATCAATGACCTCAACTGCACAAATTCCATGACTTACAAGTTACGGCTGCAATGGATTGACTTTAAAAATAAAGCCGGAGCTTTTATCGAGACAAAGCGATATAAAAAATATAGCGAAAGTGCCTGCAGCGATATTTTAAGCGAGATTCGCTACAGCAAGATTTTGTGATATTTTGGGATATTAGCACCTTCTAGCGAAATCAGTTCATTTTTTTTTTGTCGACGGTATAAAGGAAGAGCAGCATAGACTAAAATGTGGTATAGGTATGTGGAAATATTTAGAGCCTTCGGCGAATCATTTCTCGTGTAGAGGAGAGCTTTTTCAGAAAGTGAATGTTTTTATATTCTATTGCCGATATGAATGTTCAGATCAGTCCATATGAATCTTGGCTAAAACATGTCGACCTAGTTGTTCCAGTGTGACACCATATTTCGCTCGCTCACTTAATCATTTCATAAACAGAACAGATATGGAACAATCAATTCAAAATAGTTTTCCTCATGCATTCCCTCTGTCTGTCTTTGTCTGTCCGTTTGTCTCATCTTTATCTCTCTGTTTATGTATGTCTGTCTCTTTCAATATATATATATATATATATATATATATATATAGAGAGAGAGAGAGCTTTTGGATTTGGAGGCCTGAATAATTAGGGCCGTTTTTACGACGCTAATGAATTAAATTATTAACTTATGAAATTTTAGTGTTTGTATATCTTTTATAATAATAATTATTGCTCTGTTTCTTACATAGAACTCTCCTTGGATTTATATCCTTTTGGAAATGTCCACCTAATCACTAAATCTATCTATCTATCTATCTATCTATCTATCTATCTATCTATCTATCTATCTATCTATCTATCTATCTATCTATCTATCTATCTATCTATGTGTATGTATGTGTGTTCTCTGATTAACGTTATCACGGCAAATATAAAGACTTTATTTTGCAACAAGTATATATGAATGAAAGTAAAAATGTAAGATTGTTAAAACATGTAAACTTAAGAAGTCAAATTAATTTATGGAGGATGCTAATAAACAAAGATGAGTAAATAATCTTGACAAGATTTTTATAATGAAATTAGTACGCATATCATTTTAATTTTGGATTAAGTTATGAATTATATATTTTATATAAAGGGGGTTAAGAATTTAAACGTTTTCTTTTAATTGTTTAATATTTTTTATGTTGACTTTGGAAAGTAGTAATTGTTTCAGGAACGAAGATATTTGGAAAAATGCAGGGGGAAAATTTATATTTTGATAAGTTTTAATAGCGGCAATCTCCTTTTCTTAAATGAAAAAAAAAAATGAAAAAGTACCATTTTGCATTTATTTATAAATACTTGTTGCAAAATAAAACTCTTACATCCTAAACTTGGGTATATATATATATATATATATAGTTGAGTCATATATATATATATATATATATATATATATATATATATATATATATATGGTGATATTTGGCTTTGCAGCAAAGCAAAAGTCAAAAGAGTGTCACACTTGCTTCATGCACAAATCCACATTGGAAGATTTGCCAACATAACTTGTGCTATTGTCCATTGTCTACAATTTCAGTAAGATTAGAGCCATCGACAACTGCACACTAGGTGTTAAATTGGAATTCTAATAATATCTTCAATATCAACATTTCAGATGACTCCAAAACTTCAATGTGTAAGATAGCAGCTTGAGGGGGGGTGTCAAAAATTGGTCCCCAAAACCGAATGGACAATTATCGTTCACCTGTGCGCCAAGGAATCATGTCAGAGAGTTCATAAATTCCAGGAAACTTGTGCGAAGAACTACCACAAGACTCATGAATTAACATATTGTCTGATGCGAAAACATTCACCATAGACTGGTACTAAGCGTAGTTGATGTCAAAATTATCTACAGAAACAAATATCCAAATTCGATCATAATTTTGATTCTCGTGACATCCGTCAGGAAATAAAAAATCATCTATTCTTCTAGAAGCTGAGAAAATTTGGTGCTTACTTATGTCTCCTACAAGACATGAATTACCCTGGTTTACTAGAGTCTAAAATTAATTGCCTCATGACACCAATGCGTAAACAACGGGACTGTGATCCTAATCATTCACCCAAGAAATGAACACGTTCTGCAAAGTTAATGTTGCTGATATCACTAGCTAGCGGATACTTGGTCCTTATCCAAGCTCGATCTAAATCCATCAGACCAAGTTATTTGCGATGTTTTGGAGCAGATCACGAACAGTAATAATCCAGTGTTCTTATAGATATTTTTATTTTTACGAAATAGTGCTCAATGTAAATTTACAGAGCATTAATTCGCTTGAGGATGAAATGGAACTAATGTCTTTAATTTAATTACAAAAATATATTCGAAGCTTTTAGCTTCCATTTTTGAAACATGGTTAGAACTGTGTAGCGAAAAAAAACATATTTTAAATCAATTAATTTATAATATATATATATATATATATATATGTGTGTGTGTGTGTGTGTGTCTGTGCCTGTGTGCGTGTGTATTGATAATAAATTACATATATAACGCTTCCTTGTCAGTGCTGACTCTAGTATAAAAGTTCTTTTTAAAGGCGTTATGGGTGAGTGGTTTTTATGAAGTAATTTCGCGGTCATATTTTTCTCTTTCCATCATTGCAGTATAAAAGTGGAGAAATAATTTATTATGACACTTGGCGATAAACATGAAAACATGATAACTGTACGACTATGCAGTGAACATTAACAGCAGGAGGCTGAGCTCGAACTTTATTTCCTGTTTTCATACCATTTACTCCACTCCATGCAACAATAATAACAAAGAAAATAAACAAAATAAATATATTATGAAATTAAAAAAAACAAATTTACGACCATGAGAGGAAGGTGATATCATGATGTCTATTGGTCGTGGTGATTCCGTTGTGTGGTAACGTTGCAGAGTTCCCGAAAATCATAGCAGGGTTTGACTTGTGAGTGAAAATGGGCAGAGAGAATTGTTCGGAAATTGTCGATGTTTGTGCTAGCAAAGAAGCCATAAATTAAAGCCACCTAAATTGCAATGTTTTTAAAAAAATACAATTCTAACAGCAATGTTTTAAAATACTACAATTATAATTCTTTAAAAAAATTACAAATATAAATTGAGTTACCTCGATTAGATAACGTTAACTTTTGAGTTAACAGAACACGTTTCAAGCGCATTTAAAAAAAAACAAAAAAAAAACTATTCTTAAATATCCATTACATTAATTTTTTGTCTTAGCAATTCACCCCTGAATATAACCTTGGATAAGATTGAAAATATTTGGGAAAATAAAAGTAATATGGAAAACTACGGCCCCTTGATTAATGAGTTTATTACCAACATTAAAAAACTTATCCGGAAATTTGAAACGATTTAAATAAAATAAATAGACATATGTCTAGATTATTTAACCAACCATGCTTGGATGAAGATATTCTGCCTATATATATATATATATATATATATATATATATATATATATATATATATATATATATATTGGGGGGTATTTATGTGTAAAACTTCAGTTGTACCTAAAATATATATATGCAATAGGCCAATAAGAATAACGACAATAATTTTCTTATTCATATATCGCCGTGATCGAAATAGCTTAAACTATTTTCATCAACAAATTTACTGAATTCACAAACGCATACGCGCGCGCGCGCACACACAAACACTTACATAAATGTGTGTGTGTGAATTCAGTAAATCTGTTGATGAAAACAAACAGTTTAATCTATTCGGATCACGGTGCTTATAAAATGTTCGAGATTTCCAGGGAAAATACTGAAAAATAATCCGTAGCCTTGTTTTCTTCTAATTATCTACATTCTACACACTAGTTTTTTTCTTCCCCTCTTCCACTTCTTTATTTTTGATGCATTTTTGCGTGTCGGTTTTTTTCTTTTTCACGTTTTTCCTTATTTAATTTTTTACTTTGTCTTTCCTAATTTTCTTCTTCTTCTTCTTCTTCTTCTTCACTGTAGTTATTTTATTGTTTTTCTTGATTGTTTTGTTTTTCGCTTTCCCTTTCTCATCCCATTGACACTTGCCGCTATAACTCTTCTTTTTACCCTTCATCCATCATTTTCAACTCCTATGTATATTCCATTCTTCATTTTGCCCGTTTATCTCTTCTTAATTCGAAATATCATCATCAGTCGCAGCAGCAGAAACTTTTCTTCAAATTCTTCATTTTGTTGTACATCTTTGTCTGTTTGTTCTTTTACTTTAAAAAAAAAATAATCTCATCTTTTTCTTCTTCCTAAGCACATTTCAAAATCGAACACTTGGTGAATGTTGATTTTCTCGCAGTTCACTTCCATCTGAATAACATTTTCCTGTGATAAATTGGAAAGACCTGTTTCCCCACAATAAAGCACGTACCGCTTGAGTCATGGCAAGTAGGGATGACGAGTGGCGTTGAATTTAAAATTTTGTGCAGCCTTGAGAAAGAGAGAAAAATGCAAGAATAAATGAACATTTTTCAAGTCCTGACGGGAATGTTTCGTGGAAATACGGAAATATATTCAGTGACAAGGTCGGAGACAATTAAGCATTGTAAGAAGAATCCTGAGGTCTACAGTTCAGTTTAAAAGTGTCGGCTGGGGGACTTGTTAATTACTTTACTTTTCTGTACAGAAATAATTCAAACTTTGGATTAGGATCCCGAAGAAGTTTTTCTAACGGTCTTTATCTATTTCCAAGCCCAAATTTTTTGAAGAATAAATATTTTTATAGAATTTTTTTATACTTACTAAAAAATCAAAACACGTAAAAACGTGTAATAATATGTTCATCTTTAATACTACAGACCTTAAGAGTTATGGATATTTACCTAGCAAAATTAAACAAATGTGGCACAATATTCATACTGAGAGCAAAAATGATAACATGCCACCAAGGAGTGATAATTGATACCTTATTCTTTTTTACCTGGATTCGAATTCACTGATTCCCTTTCATGATTTAATCAATTACATTAGCCCCAATAACAAGAGTCCAATTCTTGAAAATACACCTATAATTTATTATCAAATGTAAATTATTTTTAAATGAAAAATATACAAGATATCGGACTTATGATCATAACAGATTAAAGTTACCTGACGCAAATGGTTTATTGAATAACACTACGGGAAGGCAACAGGAAATCATCGCTTTATTTTACCCTAGAAATCAGAATAATTCAGAGATATTAAAAGCAGTGAACTTAAGGAGTCATGGATTGCCACCTAGGTCCTCCAGCTACTGGTGAATTAGTAAGACTTTATCAGTAAATCATTATTATCTAAAAAAAACGAAAAAAAAACAACAATAAAAAATACTTGCAATTTAAAATATTTTCTGTCTCCAAGTAACCTGCAAAAGGTTGATAAACCATAGAAAACAAATCAAATCAATTTTCTGACGTAGTATGTATGTCTGTCGAAGAGATATTTATACAATGAAAAAATTCTACAAAAGACCGAAAGTAAATACACAATAGTAAAATACAATAAATGATACGCATTTCATTAAAAGAACAGATACCAAGTCCAATATTTACATTTTTTAGCAAAGGAAAGTCCTACTTACTGGCCGACGGGACAGGAGCGTTGTGTCCATAATGCAAAGGCGAAGTAAAAGAGAAGAGAGAGTTTCTTTCAGAAAAAAAAGTGTTTTTAAAGATACCTGTCAGCTGCTGCTAATCATGCATATTTCCGCTGTAGGATATCAGCAGTGTCTTCTGTTGAAATGCAGACTAAACAGGCTACACTTGTAAAAGATTTCAAGAAATTAGAAGGCTGTGTAAAAATCGAATATATCAATATGACAGTGTTAGTAAAATCATGTACATCTATGAAGAATGATATAGATGTTATTATAGGTAGAAAACTCGACCAAGTAACCGCTGGTTATCATCAGTTGTCAATTGATTGTTGCTTAATATGCCATTTGTTCCTGTGAGTTCAGTTATTTTTCGTTCCTGCTGAATTGTTTCTTCCAACGATTGAACTCATGGCCATCAGTTGATACATATATACTGACTTATTATATCCACTACATCTACGTCGCTAATTCCAAATGCACAATAATTAACAGATATCGCATATCAGATTATCAATGGACACCAGATGATGACCACAGAATATTGGCCGAAACGTATAATAATATCTATAACTGAAGAGATTACTGATATGATTCCTTACTAACATTGTTTGGACCGTTGTCCTCATGTTTATTGTCATATTCATGGCGTTTCAGCCGTTATATGCTCTGGCCTTCTTCAGGTGATTTGATTTAGAATTGAACCCATTTATTTTGTCCACCAGAGTTGATTGTTCTAGTTCCACGTTTCATGCCTCTTCCAAACGTCTCAATTGTCTCCATTTAACTCACTTCTCTAAGTGTTTATCACTGCAGCAGCCAGTTATTGTGCTTACAACTCTTTGGCTCAAGATGTTGGATCCAATTAACGCTTTTATCCACTGGGCCATGTGTCTTTGAGTGCATGACTTTTTGGGGACTTAATGCCTCAGTAGCCATTTCCTAACTAGATATTTTTTAATTCAAATTTTCTCTAGCACCCTGTATTACTGGTATAATCCATTCCCATAAGGTAGGCAGACTGAAGCTGTTTTCTGAGTGTTGTTATCCTCTTGTAGCCTTCTATCCCAGTTTGTTGGAGCTGCTGTCATGTACCCAGGGTTGTTGTTACGTTGTAGGGTACTGCTTATACTGACCATTTCTTGTTCATATGTCTCTGGGTCGCCAATTATGATTTTTGCTCGATGTTGTAAGCAGCAGACGATCCCTTTCTTCACGTTGTATGGCTGGTGGGAGTTGAAGCTAAGATATTGTCCGCTGAATAAAGGGTTCAGTTCGAAAATCCAATCTCCTGAAGAAGGCCGAAGCGTACAATGGCCGAAACGTCGTGAATATGGCAATAAAAACGAGAACAACAGTCTAAACAATATGAATAATTGCAATACCTCACCTTAGAAATATAGACAGATATAATTTCTGACACTTCATCTTTGAGGAGAGCCGCTAAATATAAATTCTGTGAAAACTCAACGAGTACATAACTCTGGGGTTAGGGTTAGGGAAGTCGTTCAGAAAACACTGAAGGCAAAAGCCAATTTGATTGATTCGCTCGGATGTAAGAGATTATTTTTTCTATTTTCAATCTTGTTTCTGAATTTTTGCAAACTTTCCGGTTGCTCGAATTATGGTCGCAATGGGTCAATTTTAAATATTAACAATCAATCACCATTCACTGATGTAAATAGGTTTTTTTTTTTGCTGCATACTCTCAGTCAATCAAATATTTCCATAGAATACAAAGATTTGCGTATACACGGCTGGCAAACAAACCTCATATCCTAAGCAAAGTATTATGATTTCTTTATCAGATCCTTACAATCGACATAGAATTATAGCCTGACAAGTAGTGACAAAAAATAAATAATTCGAGCCGGCGATTTTGGAAGTGATTTTACAGTTAACTAGTGAAATTGTTATAATAATGGAAGAAGAAGAACAACAACAATTAGTTGAGGTAAAGTATTTTATGGACACTATTACAGTAGAAGTAAGGAGAAAATTACTTTTAATAAAATATGTCGACGTTTGCCGAAATTTCTTACTTATAGATGCAAAAGAACATTGTAGTGTTAATAGTTTATGCAGCAAAACAATTTACATTATCTGACAGGAAACTCTGTTAAGTCATTGCATGAACGTAAAAAAGATAAGGAAAACGAGACAAGTGAACATAATGGATTTGGAAAAAAATAATGTAAGAAAAATAAAAACCAGTAAATGGAATTGTGTTAATTTAATTCTAGATACATTTCCGCACCAAAGTAAATGGGGACAATGCGTCGCCATTATAGTACATCGCATGCGCGCTATGTTAGTCGAGCCATTTCCGACGATTATTTTCTGTTGACAATTTATTCGTTTGTTATGTCGTTATTTTCGTCTTTTTTTCATCATAAGTTGTTGTTGTTGTTGTTCTTCTTCTTCTTCTTCTTCTAGTCTTACCAGTTGCATCGGAAGTAGTATACTTTATATTTACTTTTTCTTTGAGTTTTAAATTAATTTAAAATGATTTATGAATTATTAATTCTATTTTTGCAGTTTTTTTTTTAATTCTATCCTCCTTAGTCATACTAACCTCAGGATTTAAGTTTCATATTTTCTTACTTTCCGTAACTCTAACAAAATCTTTCTTTCTTTCTTTCTTTCTTTCTCGGTTGATTGATTGATTATTTACTTGCTTGATTGCATTCTTTCATTCTATTTTCTTTCTATTTTTCTTTCATCCAGCTCGTCTTCTTTCCTATTTTTAATTTCAGTATACGTTTCTACTTCTTTCTTTCTTTCTTTCTTTCTTATTTTTACTTCTAGTACTATTTCTTTCTTTGTAATTTTTACTTTTAGTATTCTTTCTTTCTTTCTTTCTTTCTTTCTTTCTTTCTTTCTTTCTTTCTTTCTTATTTTTACTTCCAGTACTATTTCTTTCTTTCTTTCTTTCTTTCTTTCTTTCTTATTTTTACTTCCAGTACTATTTCTTTCTTTCCAATTTTTACTTGTAGTACTATATTTTTCTTTCTTTCTATCTTTCTTTATTTCTTTCTTTCTAATTTTTACTTCCATTACTATTTCTTTCTTTCTTTCATTCTTTCTTTCTTCTTTCTTGCTAACTTGTTTTGATTCACTTCGTTTCTTCTCCATTTTTTCTTGATTCAGCCCAGCTTCTGCGTTTACATTTTACTTTGAATTCTTCAGCTAAATCTTCTATTTCTTCGTTTCTCGTTATTTTTTTCAAGCATTCATTGATTGTTCATTTTATTAGATCACTTTTTCTTCCAAATTATTGACGAATGTAAAGAAGAAGGAGGAAATGTCCATTAGACAAAACATTTGGAGAGAATAATTAACAGTTTAAATAAATGAAGCCAATTAAAATTTTTCTAATTGGGAGATTCCAAAGCGTTGATGGGTTAAGAAGCATTTTATTAAAAAAAATTTTTTTTTATATTTTTAATGGGAAAATTTTTTTTTTCTTTTCGTAATTTTAAAATTTTCCTTTCCCCAAAAAAATTTTAAAAAAACACCCCTAATTTTTAAAATTTTTAAGGGAAAAATTTTTAAAAAATTTTTTGTGAATGCCATTTTTTTTTTCCCTGAATTTCTTTTTTTTTTCCCCCGAAAATTCACAAAACTAATAAAATCCCGGTCACAAAAAAATGTTAAATTAAAATTAAAAAATATGATTAATCGACAAAAAACAAAAAAAAAAAATTTTATTAATTTTTTTGTTTTTTAAATTTATGAAGACTTTTAAATTTTTGAAAGGAAAATGAAATTTATAAAATTTTATTGTAACCCAATTTAAAAAAAAAAAAAAAACAAAATATGTTTTTATGTTTTTTTATGGAATATTATGGTTTGGAAAAATTTTTATATTTTTAAAGGGGTTTGTTTTTAAAAATATTATAATATGTATTTTATGAAATTTTATTATGTTTTATGTATTAATTATTTTATTGTAATGTATAATATTATTGTATGTAATTTATATATATATGTATTTATATGTTTAAAAATTTATAATGAAATAAATAGTGTAAAATATAAAAAATGTAGTGAAATAATTATGTTTTGTAAAAAATGGTGAAAAAGGTAAAAATTGTATAAAAAAAAAATAAGTAGTAAAAAGAAAAAAGGTGTTTAATAAAAAAGGAAAATGAAAATAAGTAGTGTAGAATAGTGAAATGAAAAAATATAAAAAAAATAGATTGGGAAAAAAAAGAAAAAGAACCCCCAAAGAATGAAAAAATGAAAGGGAAAAAAAAAAGAGAAAAAAAAAAAAAAAAGAAAAAGAAAAAAAATAGAAATAAAGAAAATATAAAATAGATGAAAAGAAAAAATATAAAAATAGATGTAAAAAGAATAAATGATGAAAAAAAATGAAATTTTAAATGAAAATGAAAAAATGAAAAACCCCTGATAATAATTTTAAATTTTAATTAATGTATATATTATATATAAATTTTGATATTATGTATATATATTTATGTATAATATAAGTATATATTTTTTTGTATATAAATTAAATGTTTTAAATTTTTATATTATATGTATTAAATTTTAATTATAATATGTATGTATATATATATGTATGTAATAAAATTTTTTATGTAAAAATGTATATATTATTATGTTTTTAAAGTATGTAAAATAAAATGTATTAAAATTAATATTATGATTATAGTAAATTTTAAAAATATTAAAATTATATGTATAAAAAAATGTATATATTATAAAGTATATATATTATATATATTGTATATATAATTTTATAATTAATATAATTATTTAAATATTTTATATATTTTGTATTATAAGAAAAAAAGAAAAATAGAAAAAAATGAAAAAAATGAAAAAAAATATGAAAATATTTTATATATTATATTTTGTATAAAATATATGTTTTAAATATGTTTAAAATTTTTATATATATGTATATATATAAAGTATATATATATATTATATATTATGTATATATATATGTATATTTTATTTGTATATTTATATTGTATTTATATATGTTTTTATATTAATATTAAAATAAAGATATATATTTTTATGTTTTTAAAAGTATATAAAGTATTATATAAAATGTTATATTATATATTTATGAAAAGTATATATATATGTATATATAATTAAATATTAAAATGTATATGTATAATATGTATATAAAATATTATAATATATATGTAATATAGAATGTATATATTTTGTAAAAATAGATATTAATATTATATTAAAATATAGATAAGATAATATATTAAATTATATATATTATGTAATGTATATATATAATTTTATTATTTTTATTTTATGTTTTGTATATAATGTAAAAAGTATATTAAATTTTGTATAATGTAAATTATAAAATTATGTATATATAATAAAAAATGTATAAATATTGAATAAAAAAAAGAAATGAAAAAAAAAATGAAATAATATAATGAAAGAAAAATAGAATAGAAAAATAATAGAAAAAAAATAAAAAGAAAATAAAGTAAAAATGATAAAAAAAATGTAAAAATAAAAAGTAAAAAATTTTGTTATGTTGTATATATTTTATGTATATTTTAAAATTTGTATTTTATGTATATTTTGTAATTAAAATGTAATATATATTAATATTATGTATATGTAACAAAGTAATGAAAATGTATGGTAAAAATATATGTTAATAAATATATGTATATGTTTATATGTATATTAATTATTAAAATGTTATTTTTATATTGTATTTATATTATATTTAAACATAAATTATATTTTATAATTTTAATTTATATTATTAAAAATTTTGTATATTTTAAAATTATAAAATATATTATGTATAATTTAAATAAAATAAAAAAAAAATGAATTATTTTAATAAATTTAAAATGTATTATTAGAAAAAATTAATAATAATGTTATATTAATAATCATAATATGATATAAAAATGTATATGTATAATATTATTGTATAATGTATATTTTATTGTATATAATTTATTGTATAAAAATGTTTTTGTATAATATGTTTTATATATATGTATATTTTTATATTTGTATATATATTAATTGTATATAATTTTAAATGTATATTATATTTAATATTTTTATTATTAAAAAATGTAATAAAATGTATAATTTTTTAAAAAGATATAGTAAAAATTGTAAAATGAAATAAAATAAATGGTTTTTAAATAGAACAAAAATTGATTAAAAAAAATGATAAATATAATAAAAAATTAAATGAAAATTTTATAATTAAAATAAAAAAAATACGAAGGGAAAATTTTAAATAAAAATAGTAATAATTTTGTAAAAATATGTATAAAGCAATTTTATTATATTGTATAAAAATATATATTATGTATAAATTATATATTATGTATATAATGTAAAAAATGTATATATTATGTATTATATAATGTATTCATAATTTTATATTAATATAATAGTATTAAATATGTATTATTATATTTCATAAATTATATTTTATATGTATTAAATATGTATATATTTTTATGTATTAAATATATATTTTTATTAAATATGTATTATTATGTATAATTATATAAAATATGTATAAATGTATATATTATTATTATAAATATGTATATATATTTTGTATATATTATAAATGTATAAAAGTATATAATATATATATGTATATTTTAATATGTATAAAAATGTATATATATATATTAATATGTATAAAAAATATAAAGTAAAAAAATGATATATTATAAAACATGTAAATAAATAGTATAGAAAATGTAAAATTTTAGTAAAAAAAAAAAAATAATATAGATAAATGTAAATAATATATATTTTAAATAAATAGAAAATATGATAATTATAAATTTAAACATTTAGAAATAAATAGAAATACAAAAAGAGAAAAAGATAACGAAGAAAAAAGAGAAAAAAAGGAGAGAGAGAGAAAGAGAAAGAAGGAGAGAAAAAGGAGAGATAGAGAAAAAGAAAGAGAAAGCGATGGAAAGAGAGAAGAAAGAAATAAAAGACAAGGTGGGAATCGTGAAAGATGTAAAAGATAAAGAGGAAAAAAAAGAAAAAAGAATCGAAAAATGGAAGCCATAATCGAAAGCTATGGAAGGGTTTTCTTATCATTCAAGAAAAAAGGAAAGAAAAAAAAATTCTAAATTGAAGAAGTGTAGAAAACCGAAAAGATGAAGACAAAATATAAATGAATAAAGAAGAAACAAAAATAAAATCATGAAAAAGTGAAATTAAAGAAGGGTAGCAAAAAAATATTTAATTAAGAATGAGAAATAAAGAAAAAAATACACTATTTACAATATTGAAATTTGTCCTCATCATTTTGTCGCATTATTTATCACAACGTTTCGACCGTTGTATGCTCCGGCCTTCTTCAAATGAAAAGTTGTTATAAAAATGGCGACAAAGATGAGGACAATAGTCCGAATATTGTAAATAGTGTACATAATACCTCAACTCAGAAATATAGACAGGTATTGAACAAAAATAAAGCAGAAAAGAAAGAAATTGATGTGAATCAAAAAAACAAGAAGGAAAACTTTTGAAAGTTATACTCTATTGTTTGAGTGAATGCAGAAAATTTCGAATCAGAACAGTTCTTGAATATTTTAATAGATAGAAATGGATTTGCCACTTTCTCATTCCATCCTTCTTAAACCAACGCTAATCTACATCTTTATATGACCATTACACATGCAATGTCTACTTTCTCGGTCATCTCCTACCACCGACCCAGACCAAAGCTATCAATACGACATATCTGCTACCAAAATCTTTCTTTTGGTGGAATTTCACGCCCTGCAGAGTCGGAGTCGAGATTTTCAAACTGAGGCTGGCTTTTTTAATGTGTGTTGACCTCTTAAGTCATTACACTCTTAACCTTTTGAAATTTAGGGTCAACAGCATATCCCCATCAAATGTGCCACTTAATCTGTAACCTTCCACCTCAAGTGGCTCTTGAGCCTTATAAAGGGAGAACATCAGTGTAAAAATATTTATTTTTTATCTATTTTCTTTTTCAATACTTCTTTCTTCTGCCTCTTCAGTATATTTACAAACATTGTTACTTGTTATTCTTCCTTACCCAAGTCTCTGTGCAATTTTTATC